GACGATGGCGAGGGGGAAGAGATACACATTTCTGCCATTTAATCATTTATTACTTTTGATTACTTATCATTTTTATATATTATTGATATAGCATGCTTATTACGTTTTGATTTACTTATTGTGTGTTTATCTTTTTCTAAGCATTGGCAATGAAGTAATTTGGCTTGTTGCTTATACTGCAATGAAGGATCCAGCTTACATATAGTCGCATACATATAGGTTTGATATAATGAGGTTATATCAAAAGGGGGAATTGTTGTGTATAAATATATTATATCATGTGTGAAGTATAGTCCTTAAGGTTTAAAATATAAAAGAAGTTACATATATGCACATAGTCATGAAATGTTCTCTTTTGAAGAAGTTGCTTTGGTCTGTTTCTTTTATGGTTTCACAGGACAAACAACAGACGGAGGAAAAGAAGTCCATATAAGGATGCAACCATTCAGTGTGATGAAGATGGGCCCCAATCAGTTGTTTTATGACCTGACCAGGCATCACGTGACTGAGTAGTAAGAAGAAGGGTCAGAGGCAACAGGAGTAGTCTTGCTTTGTCTGATGCCAGGGAAGGTTTGACCCAGAGCTCTGTAATGCAATATTCAATGTGTAATTAAATTGATTGATTGAGACCGAATTGAATCCGATCTCATCTTTAGAAATGAACACGCAGAGAAGACCGGAATTCTCAATAATGGATATTTTCTTTTCATTTGTCTGACTTTAATTTAAGCAAAAACCTGCTAAACAATTGTAACTTGCACAGTTTTATACTGATAAAGGCACTGTTTGTCTACATGTAGCTCTTTCCTACAACACTGTGAATTGTCCGTGATGAGGACCAAACATTAAATTATTGTTTTTATTCAAAAAGCTCATTTAACAAAACTGTATTTTTCCCTTTTGCATGTGTATATGCATGTTGATGTGAACAATGTCTGTCATACATCACATACACACAAAACAAATCAATCATATACAGTAACAGTCCATTAAAATGCCTAGCATTACCTTCTACAGAATTCATACTGAACAGTGTTGGTATGGGTATATAGTCTGGTACCGCACAGCAGCGGGGGTATCGACTGCCAGTAGGCTGCCAGGCTGGTGCATGAGGTCGACGATGTAGCGGCAGGGCTGTGAAGAGCGCTGATTGTTGGCGGCGCTCCAAATGAAGAGTACCTCATTCCAAGCTCGGTTGTACTCACCCCTAACAAGTGAGCAGCTTATTCCGATGCAATCAGCCAGACACTGAAAAGTGAAAAAGGATGTGGTATGATTATTTGGAAACAAGAGATGAGTGAAAAAGAAAAACAAGGAAACAATTAGGCTATGTATAGAGAACGGAGAGAACTTAGACGGGGCTTACAGTAGGATTAGAAGGATGTCTGCAAAGGAAAAAGTGGTTGAAGGATAGGGAACATCAACATTAAAAGAAGTATAAGATTGGAGCAGGGTGAAAAAAAGTGCTGTGTTGTTACTAGTTGAGTGGTACCTTAAACAGAAGTGCCCTATGGCAGTAGATTCCCTTGCTGATCAAACCAATGGGAACAACGTTAGACTGAAGCTGAAACTTGAGCTCACTGAGGTGCAGCATCCAAGAGAATTCATGCAACTTTTCCATCTCCACTGCTCCACCCATGGCGTCACTCACCAGCCTGGCACACAAAACCAAGCACACAAAAGCCATCACGACATTGAAACTTTCACATTTCCAAAGTATTTCTTTTGTATCCTGACCTCTGACAGTAGTTTTTTCTCTTGTGTGTTAGCTGCTTAATGCTGATACATGGCACCTGTGTCATTTTTAGTAAACATGAGTTACTGTGGAAGTTTCAGTTGGATTTCATGACTCCACAGAGAAGAACAACGTTTTCTCTATCATTGTGATAGCATCTCTGCATGTTGGCTCTGTGCCAAATGCATTCATTTGTCACCTGGCCAAAGCGGCATATTGCTCTTGTTCATCTTTCAGTGGGAGGATGGATTCTTTGGCCTCCTTTACTAGACTCTGCAGTGAGACATCATCCATCATGTTCCATGGTTTCTCTGTAAGAGACTCAGACTGCATCTCATCTTTTGGTTCGTCCTCCTCGTTCTTCTTACTGAACACAGGGACAGCAAATTAAAAACAAATCTAAAACACTGTGTTAGAAACAGGAAAGAATGTCACTACTAAAATTCCAAACTAAAACAAGGCAAATTCAACAGGCCTAATAACCATTCTGGTGTTACATAAGGTAAATATCCTCACTCTACACACACCCAGACCCACTTACCGAGGAGTCCTCGGTCTGCCTTGTTACTGTAAGTTAACCTGCTTCATTATATATATGTGCTTTATTTCACTATATTAACATTTCAAAATGTAAAGGGTATCACTAGGAGAAGTGATTACATCAGTGAAATTAACTGAAATTGTAGTAATAAAGGGCAGTTTGGCTTGCAAAGTTCTACTTAGGTCACACAAAACTACAGAGACCACCGATGGATTACATAACACACTGCTTAAGAATGCGTGAGACGTGTGTACATGCATGCTGAAGGGGAAACATAGTGGAAATGGGGTGGACCTGAGGTACCGTCAGGGGGTTGCTCTCTTTTGCAATGCTAATTCATCAAAATGCTGAAAGCGTCAGTGAGTGCCTGCATGTACAGCCTTTAATGCATAAGGTTTTTGTTTGTTTGTTTGTTTGTTTGTTTGTTTGAATGTCTGCTTATGTGTGATTTAACAAAACATGCATGTGTAATTTGTGCAGGCATCTTAATGTCTGTGCACTTGTGCACATTTTTGATAGTGGGTGCGAGTTCAAATGTCCATTAGCCTGAACACAAAGGCTCTGAGTGTGTTGCCATCTTAAAAAAAGGATCGTTTACCCAGTGGGGCCACGCTAATGGGGCACGCTGAAGGCAACAGTGTAGAGGGGGAAAAAAGAGAAGAGAATGGAGGAAAAGTAGAGCATTGGATTGGAGCAGACAAGGGGAGGGTGATAGTAATCACATAGCCACCATAAATTGTTCCAAAAAAACACCATGGTGCGGCTGGTAGTGTAGGAAACTTCTTGTCCATTTACTCTACTTTCAGTGTGAGGTGGGTGCTGTTTGTTGTAACAGTTTGGGGAGTTACAACATATAGCTTCTACATTTCAAATTTTTCTCTCAGGTTTATACAGGGCTTACATGTGATGACAAACATTCTGGAAAGTGTGCAAGCTGTAAACTGCCACATTCCATTTATTCAGTAAGCTAAAGCGCATTTCTCCTGTAAAAAATTAATATACAATTGATCATTTTAAAAAATTTAGCTTACTTTTTATGTATGCAATTTTAGCAAAATTCGCCTCTGAACCCATTATAACATGTTGTAAGATTAGATTCATACTCTGTTGCTGTGTTGATGACAATGACGGGTCGGTGCCCGTTGACTGGCTGCTTGAACAGTTCCTCTAAAGTCAGAACCCTTTGACCTGGACGAGCCTGACGGGGAGGGAGAGAGAGAGAGAGAAGCTTTTACTATGGAATAACTAAGAGTTCGTAAATCTTGGTGGAAAACAACTGTTCTGTTGTTGCAACCACAACAGACTTGAATATGTGCAACTACTCTGTCAAATTTGATCTAAGGTGCATGAGGTGATTTCTGTGGCAAACTGCAATAAATAACATACCTTCCCAGCATCATAAAAGCCATCAGTAATAATGTCAGTGGAGGTCAAATGACCTGTCAAGCTGTATTTAACAGACAAGTTGGAGTTAAGCAGGCTGGTCATGGCCAGCTTGGTGAAACTGCTCCTACGGTTCACGGATTGGCTGATTTCCTGAAGTATTTCCAGGGCTCTGGGACAGATAAAGACATACAGGCAAGTACATATATTCAGATTCAGAACTGTACATGCATTTGAAGAAAATGACCCATTTCATTACTTGATCACATTTAATATAACACTGTCCTATACTGCCATCAGGTGGCTATTTAAGAGACTACACTGAGTTATCTCCATTACACTTAAGGTGCTTTAACTTCTCACAGCTCAACAATGCTCCTCCAGTACTACATTTCCTAACTTATCAGCCATGCCCTATTTCATTTTTATCTGTCATCTCCTTGTCTTACCCAAATTTGCACATCTCCACAGCAATAGGCTCATCACTGGCACAGACACAGACTGCCAAGCACACGTTGTGCAGCAACTCCTTGTGATAGGAATGCAGCAGATTGACCAACGGCTGCAGGCCTCCAGCTCTTTGTAGCTATGTTGGACAGGGGATAAATTGTAGGTACTTGGGAAAAGCAAATAAAAGAAAGTTTGACAAATTATTATAAACTATTGTTTATAGATTTTTTGTTTCAAAATTTTTGTTTCAGTTGTTTTGTAGTGTAATGTAGCAGTAATGATGAGTTTTCAGTAAAATCAGTAAAATTAGCAGATGTTTGTTCTTTATGCTAAACACCAGATTTCATATTCTTGTCCTATGTAAACATGAGAATAAGTCAGCAATCTGAATTCAGCACATACAAACACCAACCTCCGCCCTAGCTTCTTCATCACAGGCCAACACTGACAGACACAGCGTAGTGTTGACCAGGACTTGTGTATCTGAAGACTTCAAGGGTTCCACCAGAGCCCGTATGACTCCATGTGACAAGATGCTACTGCGGATGGTCTTCTGTTCTGCCATGTTGCAAAGTGCAGCTGCGGAATTGGCCACCGTCCTCAGACAGCTTCCATACAGCTGCTGGACAAGGATCTCATGGCCTCCTTCCTCATACACTAATCTGGAAGATATTGAAATAGATGGGAGATTAACTCAAACGTAGAGAGGTGACCGTATATGTAGCCTTTAACAAAAATATATGCATACGGCATAGCATTTCTGTGATGTGTATGTAACATGTGACCCATACATCTGATTTGTAAAGATAGTAGAAAAACAATACAAGTAAGAGCAGTGAGGGGATCGTGCATAAGAGGCAGAGGGAAAAATCCAAGTCCTTAGGAATGAAGGAAGCAGTAATGTTGAAATATGAAGTCAGACAGAGATAATAGGTGCAGGGAAGATTTGTCTGGAGAATGTGGAACAGAGTGGAGAAAGGGAGAGAGGAGAGGTAAAGAGATTCAGTAAGAGGGCACCATGTGGAGACACATGATGCATTAAATCATTTATGAAATAGTGAAGAGGAAGGCATTCTATTCAATTTTAAAATGGCACCCCGTTCCAAGCCTCAGTTTCACAGACTGCAGACTACTAGTTTTACACATTTGGCAAAATATTAGTCGAATTATTAAAACTATGTAGTATCTTCTTCTTTAGCCTATTGCCCCAAAACTATGTAGTATACACACTTTGAAAATGTTCTAGAACTCGATTGGGTCCACGATTAGGAGGATATTCATGAGTAACAAAAACACTGAGGTGGAGGAGGGAGATCAGTTGGGTTGTCTGTCACTCACAAGGCGTTGCGCTGGTTGCTATGTGTGAGGCTAGACAGAGCCTGGGTTGCTGCTGATCTTAACATCAGGTTCTCACTGTTCAGCAACTGCACAACTTCAGGGATAGCGCCTAAAACACAGAAGAAATCCAATTCTTTCACATTTTGTTGCTGTAAGTGTGTGAATGTTGCAGTCTTCCAGTAAATGTTGTTATGTGTACCCAGGTCTCTGAAGCTGTCTTTGCTGGCTCGGTGGAGGCTCATGGCGGCCACGGCCTGACAGGTAGATGATTTCACCTTGATGTCCGCCACAGATAGAAGCTCTACCAAAACCTTTTCCACATCCTGCTTGTGCAGCACTTCACGACTCTCAGCTACACACACAGGCGTGCACCCATAATGTATCAGTAGAAACAAAGAAAACACAAAGCTACTGTGAGCATATTATGCTGTATTTCCTGTAACCTGCTGTTGGAAAGTTAAAAGTAAGCCTTTATCTCTCATCATTTTCTGTACGTACAGCTCTGAGCCACTCTGGTGATACACTTAACAGTGTTGGACTGGATTTCAGGCATGTTGGGGGTGAGGACAATTTCCATCAACCTAGTCAGCCCTCCACCATTGTGGATCAGCTGGACACTCTCACTGTCACTCAAACAGTTAGCCACTACTTGTAAGGCGTCAGCGTGTAAGTCCCTGAAGTCCTGTAAGAAAGATAGGAGCAGAGGATATAGAGGATAAAGAGCCTGAATGTTATAGAAAATGCATTTGGGTTCAGAACAAGTGTTATTTTAAAAGGCATCATTTTCAATGGAGCAGTCATAAAAATGTACATATAGGTAGCCTTCACACACTTGTTTACATACACTGTATAAAAAAGGCACATAACCTTTTTTGTCACTGTCTGACATTAAATAAGATTAAACTTTTCCTGTTCTAGGTCAGCTAGGATTACCAAAATTATTTCTATTTGCTAAATGCCAGAATAACAAGACAAAGATTTTTTTTACTACTACTCTTCAAAGTCAGGCATTTACATACACTAAGATTACTATGCCTTTATACTATTTGGGAATGATGATGTCATGGTTTTGGAAGCTTTTGATAGCTTAATTGACAACATTTGAGTTAATTGGAGGCACACCTGTGGATGTATTTTAAGGCACACTTCAAACACACTGCTTCCTTTTGTGACAACGTGGGAAAATCTAAGGAAATCAGCCAAGATATCAGGAAGAGAACTGTGGACCTCCACAAGTCTGGTTCATCCTTGGGTAAAATTTACAGATGCCTGAAGGTTCCACTTTCATCTGTTTAAACAATTAAACACAAATACAAACACCATGGGAATGTCCAGCCATCATACCGCTCAGGAAGGAGACGGGTTCTGTGTCCCAGAGATGAAGTGTTTTAGTGCAAGATGTGCGTGTCAGCCCCAGAACAAAAGCAAAAGACCTTGTAAAGCTGCTGGCTGAAGCTGATAAGAGAGTGTCATTATCCACAGTGAAACGAGTCCTGTACCGACATGGGCTGAAAGGTTACTCAGAGAGGAAGCATTTGACCCAAGTCATACAGTTTAAAGGCAATACTACCAAATAATAACAGTGAGGGAAAAAAAAAAGGTTATTTGCTTTTTTATACACTGTATGTAAACTTCTGGTTTCAACTGTATATATTAACAAAAGCATGTGCTCTCTCTACATCTACCACGTTATTAAGGATATCCATGAGCTTGTCAAATCCCTGCTCCTCCCTGAAGACGTTGCACGTATCTCTATCAGTGGTGACATTCTGCAGTATCTTTAAAGTCAGTTGTTGAATGACGGGGAAGTCCGACTTCAACAGCTTCAGAAGTGGAGGGATCCCACCTAACTTGTGGACCGCCAGGCGGCATTCATAGACCTTCATACAAACAGAACAACAGAGGTTACAAAAGGATCACAAGAATTTTTTGAATCATTTGTTTTCCACCTATTCTGACACTATATCTTACAAAACAAACAATGATGTGTTTAGTGGCTTTTAAGATACCAATAAATGTAACATCAAAATGCTTAAAAACTTTATAGGCTTGTAATCTCCTTTAGGTGGATAACACAGAGTCACCTGAACTAGGTTAAAGATGATCTCTAACGAGTTCTTCATGACATCTGGGTCTGGGCTGGATAAGAGGTGGATTAGAGGTGGCAGGCCTTTGTTGTCAAAAATCTGAGCCTTACAAATGAAATCCACTGACAGAGAGGCCAGACACAGCGTTGCAAACTCATGGACGACTGTGTCTTCTGAATAGAAGAGAAAATTGAATAGATGAAAAATTAACTGATTACATAAAGGATCTTTTGCTTTCTTCATTTCATTGACACTAATATGCAGTAAATATCCACTTCTGAGTCTATTCATCTTGCAGTCAAAATTTCTCACCTTCAGGGGACAGTTTTTCTATAATCAATGGAACGGCATCTAATTTTTGCAGAGCATTCTTTACATCACCTGTTAGTTGAAACAAGAGATAAATTCACTACTCAGTTATTCAGTCAAAGTAGGCATCAGTCTAAAAGCAAAAATGTTATTTAACAAAGTCAGCTGCTGAAAACTAGTTCAGTAGATAGTTAGGAAACTATCCTGTCAATTGTACAAGCCAGGTAGTTGCATAAGTTGATTTGGAAGCCAACAAAGGTCACAGCAGTTGAGTCTGCATTCATGATGTAAGCAGTCTGACACACCGTTGGTGGCCATGATGCCCAGGGCCATGAAGGCGTTGCGTCTGACCAGCTTGTTGTAGTGAGTAATGAGGCGGCAGAGAGGCTCCAATGCCCCAAATCCCAGCAGGGAAACCTTGTTCTCATCTCCTAACAACAGGGGGAGACAGTGAATAGGAAAAACTCGGCATAGAACCAGACAGGCTTGAGCTATGAGTGAATAAGTGAAGGCAAACACTGCAATTTCATTACATAAAAATATAAGAGGATATATTAAAAATAAATAAATAATATAAGAAAGAAGACAGGCTTAAAGCTAAAATGAGATGTGTAAGATCAGAGAAACAAGACAAGCAGTGTCAACCCCAATTAAATCTTTTGCTTTTCAACTGTAAGCTTGATCCCAAAAAAAATATCTGTACTGGTTAGCAGCGTACCTTTCTCTGCAAATGTATGGATTGCTTCACAGGCTTTGACGAGGATGTCCTCCTCTGGGGAGTTCAACAGCAGCACTGCTGTTGCTGGAGTTTTACTCTCAACAACTAGTTGTTCAAACTATGAGTGTCAGAGAGAGAGAGGGAGAGTTGCAAATGCTTTGTAACAGATCTAAGGTGTGGGAAGTAGGCGTAAAGTATGTGTTCAAACTATGGCTAATTTGTTTTAACACGTTGATTCTACAGTACTGCATTACTCTCTTACCGTTTCCTTGCATGGAGTCTTCCTCGCCTTCTTTTCCATCGTGTCCTACTGAGAACCTATACGTGTCCAAACAGTATTTATTGATCGTAAACAGTCGTTCAATATCCGTCCAATGCACTCAATTCTGTGACCATAATGTTAGCTAAAGCACCAAGCTAACCTGGCTAACAGGCGTCTTAGCAGCGCTCACAAATAGCGCTGACAAAACTAAACAGACAAATTACACATTACTGTCTCAAATATCCGCTATGACTTACCCTTTCTTTCCAAACTAAGGGACAAGTAGACTTATAATCAGGACCGACCACAGAAACCGGACTGTAAGTTCAGTGTTTTGGGAAATGAGGTTGACGCTACGTTGCTAGGCAACCAGTGACAGGTAGGGCTAAATAACGGTTTGAACATTTATTTCTTATATTAGCAGCTTAATGTTAAACTATACCAAAGGCTACACAAAACAATGCAGTCATACGTTTTTTGAGACAAAAAAAATGACAGTTAGGAGCTGGAACAATTTTATTTAAGGATTTTTATACGTCGCATGAAAGTGTACGGTGAAATGCTGAATTACAAAATAAAAAGATAAAGACTAGCATCAGTGTATGGTTCGATTAAAGAAAAAAAAATGAAAAGAGGAAATGGTGACGAATGAAATGTGTGGGTCACTGCATGAATGAGTGTGAAGGAATGTGGAGTGTGTCCTGTGCAGGTTGTTGGGGTAGTATTGGGGTATAAATGTGCTGCTGTGAAGAATGAGTCATAAAACAAATGAGCTATATACAGCATCAGCACATTGAGGCCTCCTTCCTTTATAGAGGTACTGACACAGCAATGTGCCAGTGGAAACAGCACAGTGTGCAGCAGAAGACCAAATGACCTCTAAAGACATTACCTCTGGCGGTGTGGGACATTATCACTCTGCTTCCTGAAATGAGCCTGAGATTAATCTCATCTAAAGCAAGCCAAGAATGGGGGATAGCGGACAGGTTTCTGCTAATGCATTACTATTACACGAGCTGGGAGGGGGAGAAAAAAAAGGGGGAAATAGGTAAAACAAGCATGATGGCACACCCGCATTGTCAGGTGAATGGACATTTTTTTTTATACATTTACAACGTTTCAGATGTAGGTATGAAATCTGAATGATTATTTAGATTGATATAAAAAAGATTCATGTGTGCTATTTAAAAAGCACAGAAAGGTAGCATAGGAGGGAGGGAGCTGCAGCGAATCAGCGGAGCAGACACTGCAAAGCTCGGGCTGTCACCTCCCATCCCGTCGAGCTGTCAGTTGACAGCGGCACACATGAACATCAGTGCTGCAAGCGGAGTTGACCACCCGTTGATTTTACGTCGAAATATCTGCTTCTCGGTGTTTTAATTCAAGCAGGGCAAGGACATGACAGGATAACACCCCTGTCATCTCCACGGACTAACTCACAAACGCGTAGGAGGAGGGCTGAGTCGCTTGCTAGTTTTGAGCATCTAGCTAATGGTAGTAGTTAGCTTGCAGGCTAACGGTAGCTAGCTGGTGAGCGGTGTCCCGTTCTGCTTTGTGCCGTCATTTGGCTAACTACACTGCTGACTCGCTAACGAAGGTCGGAGGGACTAATGTTAGCTGGTAAAGCGTTTAGTTAGCCACTCAGCAACATTAACGTGTCATTTTAGTAATTTCTTTTAAGACTGCACATTCACTCGCTTCTCATTTGTCAGTGGGTTTCGCGTTTTTTCCTGTTTTCTACGTTTATTTATTTTTACGAAATTTTTTTTCGCTTGCTGCTCGCTAGCTAGCCAACTCCTCGGCTATGCTAGCGCCAGCTCAGTGAGGACCTCACATCGCAGGGGTGCGGAGAGCTCCAGCCGAGTCAAGGAAGGAAGACTTATGATGTGGGCTGGGGGAAGAGGAGGACTGTTAGGTGTAGGAGAGCAGCAGTATTAGCTTAAGCACAGCGTATTTTCTCACATTAGTCCTTGTCGAGGTTGGGCCATCGCGTCAGTCAAAGCTGTGTGTGGGACGCTGAATGAAGAAAAGAATTGGGGCACTTTGATTTGCGAGCTGGCTAAATGAATAGTATTGATATCGCCGAATCGTGAGCTGGTGGCCGGTGTGCCAGCTTCAAGGGAAGACACTGCCAGGATTATCGCAGAGACTGCAACAACCAGCCAGATTGCTTGAGAGATGGCTTCGGCGAGCAGCATTGCCGCATCAATTGCGAGCAAAACGAAGACCAAGAAAAAACACTTCGTTGCTCAGAAAGTGAAGCTCTTCCGTGCCAGCGACCCTCTGCTCAGCGTGGTTATGTGGGGAGTCAACCATTCGGTGAGTCAGACCTTAAAATCTCTCAAATGATGATCCACAGTGAAGTCTCCTTCGACCTTTTTTTTTTTTTGACGTTTCCATTAAGCCTTACTTCAGCCTTTTGTGTTATTGCAGCTGATTGAATAATGCGATGTGACAGCTGTCCAGCGGTGGGATATACTGTCAGTGCAACTGTGCGACTGGCTGCAAGTGTGCTGTCCTCTTTCAGCAAATCAGTAGCAACGTTTGCTTCAGTGACCTCTGTGTCGTTACAGTAGTGCAATCATAGACATTATTGTTCCACGATTTTTTTTTTTTTGCTGTATGCACACAAGCAAAACGTGTGAGTATTCGAGCAGCGAGCTCTTCTTCTTCGGTTTCCTGTTGTGCACATGCAGGATAAGCTCCTAGGGCTCTGTGTCATGAGAGAGCAGATCTTCCCATGCAAGACAGCTTATCTTTGCTCTCTGCTCTCTTTCTCTTCCTTTGCTTGAATATTTGCTCTGGGCCAGTACTCATATGCTGGACAGAGCACGAACTTGGCAGACGGAGGACACGCAAATATTTCTGGCACCAAGTCCAAATATCAAACCTTTAACCAATGTTTTACACACAGTATTATAACACACAAAGCTATGGTGATCTGAGGAAGACGTATAATCCGTGCTTCTGTCAGTTCCTTTGTTCTTACAGACTTGATATCAATATATAACCACTCCTTAATCTTTTGCTCAGCTTGTGTCTTATAATCGTACAGTAGAGCAAGTCTGTGTTTTTAGATTGAGGAGAACTGACTTCTACTGCGTAACCGAAAGAGCTGAAGAAAAGGTGAACAGCAGCACTCGTTTCTTTCTTTATTTATTTATAGGTACATCATTTTCTGTTCATGTTTTAGTAAGAAATATGTCCCACAGGGCAGGGAATGGTGTAAATGATAGTAAAATATAGCAGTGTCTACAAAATAGAAAATAATGTAGGCCCTTTCGTACAAACTGATGCTCTGTTTTTGCTCTTTATTCTTCCCTGTCAGTGGTTGTCCTGAGTGTGGCAAATGGTTCCAAAATTCATCTTGGGAGAAATGTAAATATTTTTGACAGTAGATCCATAACAGATGTCAGTCGTACATTAAAACTGATTTGGTATGAAGTTAATGAGTCAGATTTAAGCCAACTGATATAAACACTTTATTAAACATTAGGGATGTGTTTTTTTCAGGGCCCGTGCTAACACCAATCATGAGGAAACAAGTAACTCGTACACTTTGCTAAAAATTAAGAATAACACAAACGCTGATTAAAATAAAGGAAAAACCAAGATAACACGTCTTAGGTGTGGGCAACACCATTCTGCTGGAACAGCTTCAAAGCACCTTGGTATTGATTCTCCAAGTCTCTGGAACTTTACTGAAGGGATGAAACAGTATTTTTCCAAATGATATTCCCTCTAATGGTGTTTTGATGATGTGCTGGAGAGTGCTGTCTAACATGTTGGTCCAAAATTTCCCCCAAAAATGTTCCGCTAAATTGAGATCTGAAGACTGCAAAGGCCACAGTATTTAATCCACAACGTTTTCATGTTTAGTAAACCATCCAGTGACCCCTCATGCCTTGCTAGAGAGCAGCCCTATTAGAATAGAATGGTTTCATCACAAGATAAAGGCGATCACGTAGAACAACTCTGTATTGATTTCAAGTGACCCTGTCTTTCTTAGAGGACATATGGACCTAATCCATTCCAGCACAATGCCCTTGACAGCATTACAGAGCCACCAGATCCCCTCACTGTAAAGGTCAAGGGTTCATGTTTTTCCTAAAATCTGCCACCTGTCTGTATGTTTAATTAAAAGGAACATTCGACATTTACCCAATTCATTATCCGTTTGTGCTGTGGGCGTGGCATTGCTCAAAACCACAGAGCGGTGGCTACAAATAGACACTTTTAAACATTGCAGTTGTGACCACTGTTTTTGAATTACTGATGCAGTTTGGGTTGTCTTTGAATTACATTTTTCCTTTTGATAAGTTAAATAATGTTTTTGATTATTGTGTCAGCCATTTGTGCTCAGAAAATCTGCTGTTTGACTTTTGAATTCTGTTGCTTACTAATATATTAATAACCACAATTGTTTTTAATGTTAGCCTCCTTTTCAAACTCCTTATCTCTGTATTGAGTCGAGGTATCCTGCAGTGATGAGTGGATATCAGTGTGATAGACTCACAGCACTGAGGGCACATTTATGATGGAGTCATTACTAAGCATAGGGGGTGGGCGATCTGGACAAAAGGTCGTATGACTGACAATCACAATCTGCCATCTGATTCATTGTTCACCCTGCAGATTTAGTTGAACTCATGATTAGTTGTGCATATGGTTGCCTGGATGCAAAGCCTGTCACTTGAACTCAGAGCTTAAGACCCAACTTGTAAATCTCTGTGTCCTGTTTTTGCTCTAATTTTATAATGAGAGGACTGACTAGGAGTGGTGATTCATTTTGCCACTGCTTTGATGCTTCTTTCAAGATGTTGCTCCTCTTACCACTATTCTTCATGCTGTCTTCCGTTTACAAAAAAAGCCACACCTCAACCATTACAATCAATCACACTTTTGCTTCGTTCATGTGGAGATAGAAAGTTTGGACAGAATTGACCTATCTACGATTGGAAGATTGCTCACCCTTACTAAGAATGTTATTTTTGCAATTTTGGCCAGGAGCATTTTACTTTTGGCCTAGTGTTAAGGGAGACAGTTTAGTTTGGATTACACAGCCTCAAAATAGCCTAATGTATGTGAGGCCAAGACAGCTAAAGACCCAAAGCTGTTATTCTTCATCTAAGCTGTAGTCTGTAGATGGATTACAGTCACCTGGCTGTGGTGTTAAGCCTGCAGGGGCAAACTAAGGTACGCAAGAGGTTTACCTCCATGCAGTTAGGCAGCATTCATTATTCACTCTCTCTTTGAATGTCACTGGAAATGCCTGAGAAAGATGAAGATTGATATACTGTCCACTCACTTGAACAGATTTCCTTGTCAGATATGACCTAAGCTATGTATCGGCTGGACTGCCATCCTAGCAAACTCGCAAAACCCTGACTTAAATGCATAGTTGGATTATATTTTGTCTGTCAACACTGTAAAATTGTTTATTTTAGAACTAATTTAAAATCTTAATTCAAACAGTAAACACATTGGTATTCTCTAGGTCTTTCTCCGTGCATGTCCAGTAAAGTAGAAAATCCAGTCTTGGATCATGTCATAAATTTTTATCCGTCTGCTAAAGGGCTACTGGCTCTGAACCATAAAAGCCTACACAAGTTTGGAGAATATGCATGTTCAAACTGTTCTCTTAGATTGCATAACACAGAGCAGCGGTGCCACCAGCACATTTCTTTCTTACGCCTTAGGCTACCATTTCTTCTGTTATTCTCATCACCTGATAAGGTACTCTGTTTGTCATGCCATTGGCTACATAAAAATGACGTTCTATGCCAGGTCACCAGATTGAGTCACAGAATTACTGCCAGAGGGTGTGAATGCTACATGTTGGAAGGGTTAGTATAAGGCTACTTACTACAGCAAGAAGATTGCAAAAGTAACCTCAACCTTTAAATAACAGGACACTGCAAAGGAACAAGCAAAGGGTGAGGCCTGAGAATGCAACCAGACTGCAGAGGCAACGTGCAAACACATGCACAGATTCTCCAAATGTAACCCCAACCCCCCTTAACCACTATATGTCTGTGAGCCAAACTCATCCACATTAGCTCCCCCTGAAAACCAGAATTGGAGTCGATGGTCAGTTGTGTACTGCAGTCAATACAGAAGAGGCGTGGATTCTACCCCTCTACTGGTCCAGTGAAACAAAAATGGTATGTAAAATGAGTCAAATGGGCTGCCAACAAGTATAGAAATAATTGAAGTGTTTATATTTCCCAGGATATTTGGTGTATGTCATCAGAATCATCCTTGTGTAACGGCTAAGCCAAGGATATACATGTATTTTGAAACTTCTTTGTGTAACAAAAGGTATGTAGCAGCTTGCTGAAAATAACCTTTGACTGGTGGCCATTTTCACTGTAATCCTAGTACTTAGACATTTTACTATCAACCGTCAAAGCCTAAATTGGTTAAATAACTCATGGTTTTATGGAAATGGATTGAGGCCAACTCTAAAAAGTTTTTTTTTTTTTCAGTTTTTAGAAGCAAGAGCTCAAAGGAACTTCAGTGTACAAGAGTAATCACAAAGTCATCATTAGAACAGCATCTCCTGGTTCTAAGTCAGCATGACATTACAAGTAAAGAATAGTTCTTGTCTCTGTAGGATCTACATTTTGTTGCACTGAATTCACAAAGTACGATTGGGTTACCTCAAGCCATAAAACTAGCAATGTGAATTTTGTGAGATTGTGAACCTGGCCCTCTACCTAATTTATTACAACTGTGTGAGGAATAGTTTTGTCAATAAAAAGGCAAAGACGTCTACTGGACATTTGATTGAGATCACAGCTCCCAGGGTACTTGTCCTGTGTCTAGCTCAGGAAAAAAAGTTACGCAAATACTGCTGGAGCATATAAAAATGCCCAGATATTTGTATTTTATTTTGAGAGCTGTGCTGCATGCAGGCTAATAGGCTTTGTCCTGATCTGTGTGTGAATTCAACAGTTTGGTTCTGATTCTCCGTTCTCTTCTGCCCCATTCTTCTTCTTTTTTTTTTTTTTTAATCTCGACCCAGTCAGCTTCAAACACATGCGTCTCCCTTGTGAACGGGGTTCCGCTCATGCTTTCTTCCTGTTAAAACAGAGTTCAGGGGTTCTGCTCTGTGCTCTTTAAAGCATCCTGAAACAAATTTCATTGTCATTTGCGTTGTTTGAATTTAATTTAATTTAATTTAATTATGGTGCACTAAGCTTGGCACTGCTGTTCATAGCTCAATCTATGCTGACCCAAACAGAATAGAGACAGCTGTAGCCCACAGGATATGGCAAGGTGACCTGTTTGGTATCAGTTGTAACCTATAATGTGCT